ATATGCATTAAATTTTATGCCGAAACGTGAAAAAGGCACAGGCACAGGACCTTGTCTCTGCGTCAGGACAAACTTTTGCCTTGGCTTGCCTTGCCTTAGTTAAAAATGTAAACATCAGTTGTGGCTTAATGCGGACGGTGGTGCTGTTGGTTGGTTGGCTGGATGGCTGGATAGCTGACTGGCTGTTGGTGTTGGTGGTGGTTCGCTTGGAGTTATAACCACACAACCACATGCCGCGACCCACAGCGCTTGGCATACAAATTGTCTAATCCCACATAGTTCTTGCCACCTTCAACTGGCGCACAAACTTTGTCATGGACTCGACTCCAGCTCGAACTCGACTTGTTTGTGGCTCGCTCTCTCTCTCTCTCTCTCTTTCTCTCTATCTATCTCTGCTTGTGGCATTCAAATCTAAGCCACTTGGCCAATGCTCCGGCTTTGCTTTTGCATAAGCCCACTTTTGAGTTGGGCGCAGAGCGGACTGCATATTTGAAACAAATGTGCAAAGTTTAAATTGTTTTCCACATCAATTTTTGCACATGAAAATAAAAATTAAATTAAATTAATATGGGCAAAAAAGTGACTATCAAGTGTGTTGTTAGTGTTGCAAAAGACTCTATAGAGCTAAGAAAAATGTGAGTGTTGGGTAAACATTTTGATAAAAGTAATTGCTAGCTAATTTTATATGAACTTTATATGCACTATGTAAATAATTTAGCTTAATTTAGTGTTGGTTAATGTCATTAAATATATAATTTAAATGAACTGAGTAAGGAGCTCGAATAAAGTTTAACAAACTGTAAGAGACTATATATAGTTAAAAGTTACCTAGCTACTAATTTGCTAAAAATTTAATTTAGATGAGCAGCTTGAAGTTAGCTTTATTAGTGTTGACAAATGCTCAAATACAATGTCAAATATTAAAGCCAATACATTCGTACTTTTTAACAAGACGAACAAAATTTTAATAGAATTTTGCAAACTTTGTTAATAGAAACTTGTGAATGAGCAGTGTTGCAAAATGCTGTTTAGCCAGAAGTTTGCTGTATGGCAAACATTCGCCTGCATCTAGAGAGCATATATATACATATGCATATATTTATATATATATATATATGTACATGTATATATTGTTTCATTGTATATTGTTTAAGCACACATTTTTCCTTTTATTTCATTTCATTTGGTTTTAGTTCGGTTTCATTTCGTTTGGTTTATTTATTTTTGCCTGAGTGCCTGCCGCTGGGCGCAAAGTGTATTAAAGTTTGCTAATGATGTCAGTTATGTTTTTGCCTTGGCTTTCACACACACACACACACAAAGACACATACACCCATATTCATTTATTTAAAACTTTTGCACTTTGGGGCATTTAACACGAACTAGAAGCGACGGAGAGACTAAGTGAGCGAGTGGCACAGATTGGTTGCAAGGTAGATGCAGAAATACATAGACACAGAGGCACACACACACACACATACACGTGGACTGGGCGAAAATTTATTATTGCATGTCAGATATTTTTAATTAATTATGCCGTGGCGAAATATGCGCTGCGCGCAAAAGTATGCAATAGTTTTTGCTGTTGCTTTTTTCTATAGTACGCTTCATTGAGGCAAGGCAAAGACTGCTGCGCCTGCTGCTGCAGCCCACACAATCTGCCTTTCTCGCTCCCTCTCTCTCTCTCCCTCTCTCTCTCTCTCTCTCTCTCTCTCTCTTGCTTACTCACCAAAGCGCGTCGCTTTTTAATTAGAGGCAACCACAAAAGATTTTTGTCAACGGCAGAGCAGCCACGCCCACACCTCACTCAACCCCAACTCAGCTTCTATGCCCACTTTAAAGCGCAGCCAGGCGCAACCTGTTTGGCACACTTTAAAGCACACTCACACACCGACACACATAAACACCTCTTTATGCACACACTCAAACAAACGTTGTCAAAAGCTAATCGCAAATATTTTATCCTTTTCCATGTACATTACAGCAAATGCGCAACTGGCTAGCGTCGAGGTCCTTGCTAATTAAAATAAAAATAATAATACAAAAAAAAAAAAAAATGGAAGAAGAGAGAAGCGAAAATAAAAGAAGTAACTGGGTAAGTTCGTTTGTTGTTTCTCTTATTTTTTTTTTACACTTTTGCTTTTGTTTGTTTATATTTGCACAGCTTTTGACATAATATGCGCGTTATCCTTGCTGCGCCAGGTGTACACTGCATATCCTTTTTGGCACAGCTCAGCGCAAATATTTGCGCATGTTTAATGCGTCGTTCGACGTGTTGGCCATCTATTTGTTTTCATCTTTTGTATTGCTGCTCGACTCATTTAAATATTTAAAAAGTTGCCGCTTTCCTCTAGCAGTTGTCCCTTTTCTGTCTCCCTCACACTCACTCTCTGTCTCTTTCTCTGTTTCTGTGTGAAAATTAATTTAAGTAATGCGTTGCGCCTAGGCACATTTATCTGGCGTACGGCAAATCCTTTTTAATATGCCTGAAAAGCATTTTCATTTTTCATTTGTCATTTGGTCGCTGCGACGGCTCGTTTAACTGTAAAGGACCCCAGGACTAGAAAGGATCAGGCCACTTTACAGTGAGAGCGGGAGAGAGAGAGGAGAGCGAGAGAAAACATGTGGGCAAACCACATCAAAATTGCCCCAACAAAGTTTTGGTCGACAAACCTCTGACTTTCTCGTGTGGCTGGCAGTGTTGCCAAGCGTCCCACACGGCTGCAGTGTTGCACAGCATCGGTAATGGCCTCAGCTTCTGCCTTATCATAGAGATCTGCTAAAGCAATCAGTATCAAACATCATCAACACTTTGCCAGTCAATTTTTTGCAGTTTTGCTGTTTCAGCTTTTATTTCATCGCTTTACTTTTTATTTTTGTTCTCGATTCGCTTTTCCACACTGGATAATCCGTGAGGGAAATTGCGCTGCCTGTTGTCGCATGCTCTTTGTGCAGCCTGACTGCCGATGAGTTGCCAATGCGAAGGTTAGTCAATCAACTTGCGGCGCCTGCTGTCGAACAGGCTGCAGGATGTCTGAAGGGATGCAGGATGCAGGATGCAGGAATTCGTGTAACTCGAGTTGTTGCTCGTGCCGAGCCCTTGGCGCTGAAATCAAATTTCATTTGCAGGCAAACTTTTGGCTTTTACTTAGTTTTACTTTGTGCTCTACCTCTTCGACTACTGCCGCTTCCACTACTACTTCTACATCTTCTTCTTCGTCTTCTTCATCATCTTCGTCTCATCTTCTGCTGACGATTTCTCATCTACGTAGCGCTCTGCCATCGACAACTGTGCGACGCTCTGTTGACAAGCCAAGTTCCCATCARCAACAACAATGGAAAAACGTAACGCAAAATGGTCATTAATCATTCCGAAGCTCTATTTCCATCGGTGTATGTGTGTGTGACTGTGTGTGTCTGTGTCGCATATGAAAGCGAGGGAAAGCGAGCGAAAAAACATAAACTACGTGCACTGCAAAGCTGAGAAACTGTGCGAAACTTGATGCTGTCGAACTGAGATTGAACTGGCGCTTCATTTTCTTCCTCTTCTACACTTTTTTTTTGGTGCTGAGGAAAAACCAAGAAAAATATATACATACATATATATGGATGTATACATTCTTTTTCTGCTTGGTAATTGATTAAATTATGCGTTTGAATTATTGTTCTTTCTTGCGCAACATTTGATGTGCTCTTAACACAGTTTACCTTTTCCTTCTGCCTTGATTTTCTTTCTGGCCAAAGTTTCTGGCTACTAAACAACTACTTCTGTTTGATTCCGAAACTTTTTGTTAGCTAAGTCTGAAGTCTAATCCTCAAAATCGGCTTTACTAAAGTGCTGATAATTTGATTAATATATGCCCTAAACATAGTTCAGATTCACCTAAATGCAATTATCTCTTTGTCTCTTAAGTCCTTAATCTTAAACGCAAAATCGCATTTTCCTAGTTTGGATAAACAGCTGCTAAGCGTTTTATAAATTGCGTGAAAGACTTTAATGCTTTAAATGGACAACAAGCTGTTCAACAACATGAATCAAAAAACGCATTGAAAATATGTTCCCAAATTCACTTTCGCTGCAATTTCGACAAAGCGTCTAAATTGTGGGTTATAATTTATTTTTATTTTTTATTTTTTTTTTATATGGACATTAAATTTTCTTGTTGAAATATAACTTATAGAAA